CCGCGGAAAATTCTCATGCCTGGAGAAGACAGGTGAGCGGCGTGGGGGTGCATGAGCACGCATGCCGAGTGCGTCAGACAGAAATAAGGGAATGGTGGGTTCAGAGATAAAGAAACCTGCCGAGGGCTTCACACAGAAATATGGATAATGATGGGTTTGAAAATAAAAACGTACACCGATTGCTTCGCAAGTGAAATTATGGATTGATATGTTTAGAGATGAACACACAACGCATACTGAGTGAATAAAAAGTAATCAGATATCAAAGAGACTCATGTGGTAAACGCAGTCACTAGTAATAAGAAATACTACAGACTTCACCCACAACAAACAGCATGTAAGCAGGTTGATGAATGGAGAGCCGGATAATTATTGCACGTACCTTGAGTGTGTTTAGGGCGGACAGCGCAGCTTCCAGAGCAGGAATGGCTTCAGCTAGTTCACTCTCGCACTCATCCTTCAACGCCTGCGACTCTGCTGCCTGCTCGTTAGCCACAGCCTCATCTTTTCTCACCTGTCCACAGCAAGCAAGAGCTCAGTGGGAACAGACAGGATGCTGACGGTGATTGAAGAATTTATGAAAGTGTATTATATTCTTTTGTGTGAACGCCAGGAAATACACGATTTCAATATCGACAATGTGAAGGCCTATAGCTGCATACAACCTCTTCTAACAATTAGAAGAATTCTGTGTATATCTTCCACGAGCAGAGAGAGAGAGAGAGAGAGAGAGAGAGAGATCTGCACTTGATGATGTACAAGCCTATAGCCCTCACCAATTCGCTGGTCTTCTCCACCTCAACGGATTCCTTCTCTATGATGACCATCATTTTCTCGTTCTCGCCCGAAGCTATGACGAGCTGCGGCTGTAGCAGTTCCAACTCCGCCTGCATCTCAGCTACCTGGGACGAGGCGAACGCCAGCTTCTCCAAACCGACCTGTCGGTGAGGAGAACGTACGAGTCATCACCGAGTACACTCAGATCATGTAGCATGCTTCCGGAATCTTGTTTTTCTTTCTTAGTTTCTCTCCAGTTTGTCTCTCATTCTTGTAGTATGTATCAGACTCGACAGCAACAATGTTGTATGCATTCCTACCACACGAACACACTCTCGTAGCATGCTTCTCTACGTCTCGCTGTCATCAACAATGGAACATTCCCCTCCAACATAACTTCGCAGCAACAGCAGCACATTACGCGACACTTTCGACAGCATTCTGCCTCCTGCCCCGTGTCTCCCGACTGGGGCTGCCCGACTGGGGCTGCCCGACTGGGGCTGCCCGACTGGGGCTCTCCGACTGGGGCTCCCTGACTGGGGTTACTCGACTGGGACTACTCGACTGGGGCTCCTCGACTGGGGCTACTCGACTGGGGCTCCCTGACTGGAACTACTCGACTGGGGCTACTCGACTGGGGCTACCCGACTGGGGCTCCCCGACTGGGGCTCCCTGACTGGGACTGCCCGACTGGGGCTACTCGACTGGGGCTCCCCGACTCACTGGGTCTCCTTAACTGACAGTGTGCGGCAGCACGAGCAAAGACATCGCGAGCTCACCTCGTAGCGACGTTTCGCCTTCATGATCTCCAGCTGCTTCCTGCCCAGCAGCGTCTTGAACGACTCGATCAGCTCGAGGTAGGACGTCGGCGTCACGTAGTTGTGACGGCCCAGCTTCGCGAGAAACCTGTAGTAACCGTGGCGACCATCAGCATCTTCTCGCACGACCTCGGCGACACGATTAAAAAAAAACTCGCTTTGTGAGTTAATCGCTGGCGGTAGCGAGGAAAACGTGTGGATGCTGTCGCAGCCCTCCGCTGCAGCAGAGTGGACCGAAATGTCGCCAGTTAATGGCGATTATACGTATATGCGTGCGTGTAGAAATCCGGTCTGCTACTCAACCCTCGCACGCCATTCAGTCTTCACCGTCACAGACACAAGCAGCACGAGGGCACATTCATCCCCGCCGCTGCAAACATCTGTAACAAGCTCGACAACAAAGCAGTAAACCTGCCTTTGCAGAATTAACCTAGTGTGTTCTTCTAAGAAACGGTGAATTGGACCTTGAGCAACCACCGACAATCAATACCCAGGGCCATAATAAAAATATTGTTTGTTTGCCCTTACTCGACCGACTCGCCAAAAAGAGGCCGACTCAAAATTTTTTATTGATATTTCCCATTCTTTTTTTTGTTTACAAATTATATCACTGTACATTATATAAATCTGCAGGTAATACATTATATCAAGAGCGTATTAAGAAGTGTATTACCTTCTTAATACGCTCTTGATTATATGTACCAAGCAAAACAAACATTCAACATAAAAGGTATCTCCACACAAGCACACCCGAGCATGTAGACACCATGCTAAATTTGTAAAAAAAAAAGAATCCTACCTATACCTACCCAAACTTTTCAGCCTGGGTCGGGTGAGGGCAAACATATATTTTTTTAAATTGTGGCCCAGGGCAAAAGTTGCTATATCATATGCTTGGTGGTTCTCGACACAAACTGAGTGCTTCACGAAAGTGAATCGTGTGTGCATCGTCGTCACTGCGGTCTCACCTCTCGGACAGCTCCCTGCCGCTCATGTGGAAGTACTTGCATATCTCGACGGCGGCGTGCTTCTCAGCTTCAGCCATGTCGACAGCCTCCAGGTACTTGATGGCCACCCGCTCCAGCGCATCTTCCGGCCAAGCCTAAAGGACACAATAAAATATTAATGGCTCTGCACGGCGCGAAAGTATCTATTGCTGCTATAGCGACCTGGCCTTTATCGTACCGAAGATTCCGTCAGAGACTCAGAGGTGTCAGCGTATTACGCTAAACCGAATGAATCCGATGATGGTCACTGCCAGTTGTTTTTACGTCCTTGGCAGACCTTTTAAAGTTGCAGTTACTGGCGAAAGGGTCAGGCATTTTACGGGGTTGTCTCAGTCACGAGGGGTTTAAGGTCCTCGATGTTGAGAGGAAAACTCATTACCTGTTGTCATTAGCAGTTGATGAGCGAGGGGAACTGGCGCAGACGGTTGCGGAACGTCTCTCCGATGGGGCTGAACGCGATGACGACATGAAGGTTCTGTCGGCAGTGGTTTACGAAGAACGCGTAGAGAGCCATCGGACTCAGCTCGGCGTTCTTGCCCGCCTCTAGAAGCGCGAGCGGCCGCACGCCCTGCGGGAGAAACCAGAGTGATCGACAGGTTAGCGATGCGGCTAGCGTCCGCGAAGAAACCCGATCCCGCATACGGTGAAAGCCATGGCTAGCGTCCGTGCCTGATCTC